TTACATACAAGAGAGTCCCTCTATTACCTCTTTCAAGAAGAGGTTGAAATCACATTTTCTTTCCCTTGAGTAATATTTTCTTTGTATTTTTCTAATTGAACTGTCAAATCTTAAAATCAATAAACTAAATTTCTAACGTAAGTAGTTTATTCATTTATTTTAACATTTATTATATAAGTAGGTAGGTATTATATGTATTTATAGTGTTTGTATTTATGTAATATTTTATTATATATTTTAATATTTTATTTAACTGTATATTTGTTTATGTATTAATAGTTGTAGCACTTCAGTTGCCCGCTAACGAAATGCCTTCTTACTGTACTGGGTTGACTGAAAGAGATCTCTTTCAAAGATAAGCCCACCCTTGCTCACAACATTTATAAATACATTATTTTATATGTAACTTACAAGTGTAATAAAGAATATATATATTTACAGATTAATCACGTAGCAATTTTATCAAAATCAGTTCAGTGGTATCAATTTTAAATATATATATATGTATATATGTATATATACACACAATTGAACTAGTTTTTTTTTTTATGAAACAGTCTTAATTTTTTTAAGTCAATTGAAAAGTATAGTTGAAACAGTTATATTAATTAGTAAACCCTTTTACCACAAAGAGTTAAATTGAAGAAACCGCATTCCGTTATATAATAATTGCGTCGCCCGTCTGCTTGTCTTGTCCGTACGACGCCGCCGCCGGTCTACCGCGACACACGACAGATGGAGACGAACCGTTAGCCCTTAAGCTGTGGTCCAAGTTACAAAATATTAGCGGTAATGATAATGAATGTTGTTTTATTTTTAAGTTAGTTACTTACAAGGCACAAAGGTAGGGGGAAGGGATTATTAATAATGGAGTCTAACAGCCTCGTTTTTTTTGTGGGTGATGAGGAAATGCTAATTCAGACTGCGCTAACGGTACGGTATATACTGAAGCTTTCCAGTGACATAGATGGATAAATAGATAGATACTCTTTATTGTTTCCTCCAAAAGCTTACAATAGTAAACTTATTATAGATATGAACAATTACAGTAAAATGATAAAACATTGTTTTATAATTACAGAAATAATGATAAAACAATGGACGAACTTATCGCTAAAAGCGATCTCTTCCAGGCAATTTTGGATATAAATTAAGGCAAATTTGGATGGAGAGGAGTATACGTAAAACGCAAAGTTATAAAATTTTTAGATATCTGAGGAAATAAGTAGATATAAAATACATCAGGCGATCCGTATGTCTGTACGCACACAATAGTCAATTTCTACAAGGGAATTTTCTTTTGAAAGTTGCTTCAAAATATTAAATTATATAACGGCTCCGTAGTACAGTCGTACAGTTATTTATAAGGTAATGACAGTAGCAGTTATGTTACCGGAATTATATCATAATACGCGAGACACCGCAAAGCGCATCATATTGTGATGTGTCAGATAAAAGAAATCTTTTATGCACATAAAAATGATTGTTACGATCATTACGTAAAATATTCATAAACTCTTTATATTAAACACTGGCTTTTACCCGCGACTTCGTTCACGTGACCGTATGTTTACTGTCCGGGATAATAATGACCTTCTCCATTCTTCTTCATCCCATATAAAAAAAAAAATACGTAAAAATTAATTCACTCATGCGCCACCTACCCAATTCTATATGTTCTCCTTTAACCAAAGGTTGTCTGTAAGAGATTGCCCTAGCGATAAGACCGCCTTTTGTACTTTTATATGTATATTTTAATCTGTACTTCATACTAGTGTATTTCAGTTGAATTGTTTATATTGTCATTGTTTATTTTATATTTATGGTGCAATAAAGAGGTAAATAAATAAAAATTGTATCTGTATACCAAATTTCATAGTGATTATTTGCCTTTAAGGCACTATAAGGTAACAAACAAACAGGCTTATACAATGGGACAGACTCAATATAACAATGAAAATTTATTTATATTGTATATTATAAAATAATGGGTAAATAAATTTAAAAATATATTGTAATAATTTCTTTTTTTTATTAGATAAGCTTCGAAGGGTCGATAACGAAAATATTTGTTATCAGTAATCGATACAGTATTACAAAATATACTGCGACAACATACATGCAAATAATTAAACTGTGTTTTTACAAAAAAACGCCCAATCACTCTTTGGAATCAACTTCTAGCAGCAGTATATTCATTTATTTAACTCTTTATTGCACCATGAACATAAAAATAAACAATTACACATAATTTAACTTTGTAGTAAATTCTTTAATACCTATACAGTTATTCATATCTTTAGGTAATGATTACCACTTTTCATCAGGTGGGCCGTTGGCTTGTTTTCCATTCCTAGCTGTATAAAAAGCAATCGTATTGTAAAGGTTTACAACTAACTGCACAATTGTTATAAAAAGCGCTTGGTATGCGCGTGCTCATAGTTGGTAGCTGGTGGTGATCACGCGACGTGAATTTCTAACAAATAGCAAACCATTCGCTAGTTATTATTGTTATCTATAAGTTATGTTTGAAGTTAAGTTAATGTTAAGTTTTAAAACAGCCAGTGTGAGATTTACCAGTACGCTGTAGGCTAGAGATTAGGGTCGAAGATTTTAGGGGCGGCAAATTTAGCGATAAAATAACATATATAGTTCCATTTACAAATATTTTCTAATCTTCATATTAAGTATATGATTATGAAATCCCTATTACTAAATTTTATAGGGGGGATAGGGGCGGCAAATGTGTAATATCGCTACTTAAAATAGCATTATATTCCAGTCAACGTTAGAAGAAAAAAGTCTGTATTTTATGGTTATATGTTTTTTCTTATACGACTTAGAATGCCAAACAAGCTGACGGCCCACCTGATTGAAAGTGGTAACCGTCACCTATACACATGAACAGTACCATGGACATAACAGAGTATACTGTTTCGCCCATGATACCCCCATGCGTTGCCATTCCTGAGGACTCAGGTGTTATTCCTCTGTACCCAGTAAATTCACACCATATCCCACCCTTCAAACCGAAACACAGCCATGCAAACACAACTGCTTCACGGTAGAAATTTTTATGTATTTTATGTATGTTATATTTGATATTATCATACCGTTTAAACCGTCATTAAAAAGCAAGATTCATAATTATTTTTATACTCTATCCGAGCAGTAAGTTTTTTCTATTTATTTATTTATTTATTTATTGCATTCCATAATAATTAATTAATACATAATACATAATTATTACATAAGGTTTCAATTCTACTATTCTACTACATCTTCTTGTATATTAAAGTTTATTTTGTATATATTTAAGTATATTTATTTGTGTATGAGTATAAAAATAAATTTTTGTGTGTATGTATATGAATTATTATTAGTACTACATTCGAGTATTCTTTTACTAAACGTTGACTTGCATAGAATGATTATAGCATTAAGTACCACCTTGTACACATACCCGTACTAAAGAATAAATAAATAAATATTTGCTAAACAATAACGCTAATTTATCAAACTAAATACAACCTTCATTTGTCACAGTGTGACACAAATGTGTCGTGACGATTATAAACTTAGAAGCATCAATCAAAAGCTTTCTCCGCGGCTCGTCGTGTCAAGGTCTTTTATCTGAAGCACAGTACCAGGTCATTGTCTCGCAGCCTCGTGGGCGATAGCTAGGGATGGCAAAAGATGATTTTATTTAAATATGATTTTCAAATCAATATTTTAATTTTTATTACAAAATCGTTACATTTTGTTTGTCAAGTTGTCATGTTCTATTTATTTTAATGTACTCGTACAGGATACAAATGTATTTATTATTACAATATCTTTTATATACATTTCAGTAATGTTTCAAGTTAATTGAAAATGTATCGTATGACTTGAATACTATATATATATATATATATATGTTAAAGTACATTTTTAAGAAAGTTTAATGGTAGGATAAAAAAATATAATACCGGGTTTAACAATAATAAATAATTTTAATTTAAGTAAACTCATTTTTGAATTGTCATTTTTATACCCACTTCAGAATGCAATTTCAACTGAACAGCAGTCAGGTTTTGTACAACCCTATTACATTCCCATCTAGTCAGTCGCATCTAATGATAGTTATTGTATTGTAGTGGTCATCATGCGATCTGTCACTCATTAGGTACTCATTTTTGTCAGCAATCACCAACTAACAAGACGTTGCGAGAGAAACATTCACAATAGATTTCTATGACGCTAATATTAACAATAAATCAATCATTGATAAACTGTACTGTCACGATGAGTGCTTACACAGTATAATTGAAATGTATAGTGTATATAAAAAAAAAAAACTGTTTGTACACCACATTTACGCAATACTGCACACACAAACACACACACAAATAACACACACTTTTACACTAATTAATGCGAGAACTTCTAGTGATGTGACATTTCAAATAAGTATATCCTTAGAAATTTTTTTGCTAAATTTCTACCCTCCAAAAATAATCATATTATTGTTTGTCATATTATTGTTATTTATTTTCTATTTATTTGGGTAATGTAACAATGACAAAATAAAGATTAATACATAGTATTAACACGAAAACATTGTGTAAATTTGCCAGCAACACCGTTTACCACAGTTTCGAATCAAATATAATATAAATAGACATTGAAAGAACAGCGAAAAATAGTATATGTCTTTTAGAGATTAGTCTTTTAAAAGTATTGCGGTGTTCGATAATAATATCAACATTATTAAAAAAATGAATTATCATATCATATCAGCCATTGGCTAGCCACTGCTGAGGCCTCCCTAACCAAGCAGATTGGCAAACGCAGTTAGGTTTTGGTGATCTTTTAAGAAAGACGCTGCTGCCCATCCCTTGATCCTTAAATTCTTTTAGTCGACACTCACCGGAAAAGGCCCATTCTATGCCGAAATTACATGACTAAAATATATTGACTGATCATTTATTAAACCTCTTGCTTCTGGTCTATTTCAGGCAATCGACGGAACACGACACAGGGCAGTACAAACATAACGAGGGATTCGTTGCTACTATCCGTGCTTGCGGCCAGGCGGAAACAATTCGGCGGGAGGCCACCGACGCTTTTCAGTTCATTGCCATCGATAGCACAAGCCGCTAGAAAGTAAATATCTTTCATTTCTAATAATCGTATAATAATAATGGTTTCATAACCGCCATCATATAATAGTGGGCATTTTGTTCCGCACAAATGATGCTTCACGTTTGATTCTTAGTTGAGTTATTCAGAAAAGCATGCCAAATTTATCCGTATACCAAGTTGAATCGATATATATTTAACCAATTATATAATAGATGATTGAATAAACGTCCAAATAACTTCATTATATTTAGTATTTTGAATAACAACAATAATCTATAATAACTTTTCTTTTTCTTTCTTTATAGGGGCAATACAACATATGCTAAAATAGAAATTCGAGATGCAAATAATGTTACAATAAAAAGGCTAACATTTGAAGCCTTACCGCTACAAAAAGTAACCACCGATGCCCCAAAAGTAGGTGAGATTAGACCGCATGAAACTAGACATCTGTTTGTGCCTAGAATTTTTCAAGACAATAAAAGTCGAACTGGGTTTGTAAACAATCGAAGACGAGATGCACTAAGTATAAATAAGGCAGTTCCTACTATAGAACATGTGAGTGAAAGTGGAATAGTATATGTTCCACCTGATAAACTAGAAGGTCTTGACAAGGAGGTAGATTTAGATCCAGATGAAGAATTTCAGGTTGATGAATCTAATCATGGTTTATATTTGCTTAATTATTCCGATTCCGAAAATATAACAACTGGTCTAAATTTAAACAAAACCGATGTTGGTACAGAATTTAATGAAAACGTTACAGCTAAAGTTGAAAACACAACTGTTTCACAATTCAGTAATAACACCACAGACAGATCGACACAATCGCCAAAAGAAGAAATGATTGAAAAACCAGAAACTAATATTATTATCAATAGTACTGATATTAGGCAGTTGAAACCTTCAAAAATTTCAAGTGATAAAGATAAAATAAACCATACTTTATTTATGTCTGATGAGATTTATAACCATTTTCGACCATTAGAAAGTGAATTGCCTGTAGAAGAAATGGTTCCATTTATACAATTTGGTAAGAAGCTCGATGGACAGGTTATTAATGATAATTTAACTAATTCTCCCTCATTATCAGCATCAACCAAATCAGTTAATTTTATTGCTGCTCCATTGGAGAAGCGTAAGTTTAATTCAAGATATTCTGCAACAGAAAAATATAAAAACACTAGCGCTGATGAAGAAGAAATTAATGAAGATATGGATGTCTCTGTAGTTAAAAATATTATAGAAAAAAATAAAATTAGGAACACCGTAAAAGGACCTGCACCAGCGCGGCATGTCAATGCGTATAGAAAATATTCAAGTAGTACTCAAGCTACAACTAAATCTCCAAATATTGCAGAACTGAATGTTACAGAACCTATAATAGTAAATGTCACACCAAATACTGTAAATAAAAATAAAGAAATTAATCACGTCAATACAAATATCACTAACACTACCAACACAACAAAGGAGGGAACAAATAGTACACAAATAACTAAAGAAAATATTCCAAACAGAACTAATACAACAATATTGCCACGAAATTTTACACGCAATTATTTCAATTTACGTCGCCGACCAGCTCGAGTGACCGCTGCGTTGACTACTGAAAATATAATTCCATCAGGAGTTAATGCAACTACAGAAAAAGCTTCTACATCTGTTTATACTGCAGTCGTTACTTCAGTATCAATAACATCATCTATGAAAGGACAAAATAAAACTGATTCACTAAATAAAGAATCCGAGAACAGCACCATGCCGATAGAAAATATCGAATTATCAACGAACAGTAGCGATATCAAACCAAGTTCTTTGAATGAAACAGAAAATACTACTATTCTCTCTTCAACAAATAGACCTTCTAGACACAGAATAAGAATTAGAACTACGACTACAGAGAGTAGCGTTAATTCGAGTCCCCGGTCTCCACAAGTGATATATAGACCTTCTGAACCTCCATTTATTAGTGAGGTTTCAACTGGGAATGGAGATTTAAGAAACGAGACAACTACATCACGTATATCTGAAAGATTGGCAAACTTATTAAGGCAAAATGTTTACGATACCTTAGCTAATGGAAGTACGATTCGACCAAGAAATATTCTTAGACGACGACGTCCAACCACAACAAGTACTACTACATTATTACCATCAAGTACGAGTTCAACGACATATAGAGCACCGCCACATATTTTCATCCCTACTGAGAAATCAACTATATCTGCACCACAATCTTCAACACCAGCAATAATTGCAACTACCAAATTAGAAACAGATATGAGCACAACGTTTAAACCATTTGTAGTGACGTCAAAGACGTCATCTCAGTCTAGATCGAAACCTGTATTAATTGCATCAAGTGGACCATCGGCAGAAATTAATACAACTACTGTAAATATAACAAATAACAGCGAAGAAGACTCAACATCACAAAACGAGGAAGTAGTAATAGAAGCTGAAAAAACATATACAGCTTCATATGTATTGGCTGGGTTAGGTTTCTTGCCAATTGCAGCAATTGTAGCTTTTGTTTTGAGAAATGTGTTAAATAAGAAGACTAAAGAAATAGATACGGAGTATGAAGGATACTTTGATGATAGTGATATTAAAAAGGAATCACCAATAACAACAGTAGCCCGGCCTCCTCTACCAGCGCCTAGTAAACCTGATCAGAAATGGGAATTTCCTAGAAACAAATTAAGATTACAGACTTTGTTAGGACAAGGGAATTTCGGACAGGTGAGAAGTTTTGTTTATTAATCCTTAATTTAATACGTATGCTACATTTTTCTATTATTTCTTTATTTCTTCCTATATTATTTTATTAGATAATTTTAAAATAATATTTATATATATATATATATATATATATATATATATATATATATATATATATATATATATATATATTTTAATATATATCTTCAATGATATTTATATGCCAATGTAAAATGACATTTTGTATAACATATATAATAATTTAATTATTATTTTAATTTCGATGAGCTCATATAGTATATTATGAAAACTCTAAAAGCTGCAAACTGTGCTTTGTTTTTTATAAAGTTCATCGAAAAAAAAAATTAATAGAGATAATTTTTATTTCAGGTATGGAAAGCGGAAGCAGATGACTTGAATGGTCACGACGGATTAACACGATTGGTCGCAGTGAAGAGTATCAAGGAGACAGCCTCACAGAAAGAGAAACAAGAACTTCTGCACGAAATTTACATTATGCAGAAGATTGGAACGCATCCAAATGTAGTCACACTTCTAGCCTGTTGCACTGAACAAGGTAGCTACGAATTTATTTTATTTTCTAGAAAGATTTTAAACATGTAAATAAAAATCAAAGACTTCATATTAATTAACGAATAGTCTAGTGCTTCAGAAGATTTTTTCAACATAGTCACTTTTTAGCTATGAAACAAAATTAAATTTTCATTTAATCTGTAATTTAAATCTAATATTTGATTTATATTTATTTGTAGTTTATCATTTAATATTTTATTTAATACTAGTTTTTACCCATGACATCGTTTACATGCCCAAGATATGTCTACTGACCGAGATGTAAAGTAGTCTATATCCTTCGACATGTATACCAAAATTCATAGTGACGGATTAAGACGTTAAGGCGCTATAAGAGAACAAACAAACAAACTTACTTTCACATTAATAATATTAGTAAAGATTAATGAAATGTTATACAGGTACACTAAAAAACATGTAAAAGAGTTAAAATTCTAAACTTTTTTCTTGAGATTATTTCGAAAATCGTTTTTTCTTGAAAATACTTTGATATGTTTATTAATATTTTCAGAACCTTACCTCCTGATAATGGAGTATGTAATGTGTGGTAAATTGCTGACCTACCTACGTGAGCGGCGGTCGAGGCCTGACCGTTTTAGTGGGAGCGGAGCACTCACTTCGAGAGATTTGACAGTCTTCGCCTACTGTGTCGCTAGAGGGATGGACTATATCGCTTCTAAAGGGGTATGTTATTCCTATGGAAAAACTCAATTCTAAAATACATATTTTCAAACATTGAGCCTTTATGATAACAAATTAATTAGATTTTCTTGTTTGACTTCATTAATTTGAAGTATAAAGAGAAAATGACATTGAGTTAAATGAAATTTATGAAATTAGTATTTGCTATAACTAATGAAGGAAAAAATACTACGCAATTTCACAATTTGATGTTCATGAACTGCGTAACGAGATTGCAGTATTTTAAAGTGAAAAAAACTACGTCTTTACATTTTACTTTTTATTTTTCTGTTATTAATATTGTTAAAATTTTTATAATATGCTTATAATATATTCGCTTTATATTTCCTTGAAAAAAAAAATCGATTGTTAATATTTGATGGTTATTTAATATTTAACTGTTATTATGTCACAGAATATATCAAATTTCAGTACCTTCAGTCCGATCATTAGGAAACCTTCTTTTATAATAAAATTCAGTATTGTTATTAATTACTTTTTGCCTGTGACTTCTTACACAAAAATTTCAGAAGTAGATAAACGCTGTTTTATCAAGCAAGAATAAAAAGTAATTAAATTTATATAGAATATCAAATATACACCAGATTTTAAGTTAGATTTTCAAGAAAACAACCATGAAAATCACATGCAATTTGGTGCAATGGTTTTTGCATGATACCGTAATAAACATACAGACACAAAAAAAAAATATTTGGCTTCCATCGCTCTTATTAAGATTTTTTTTTCTCAAATATGAAATATTTCACACAGCCATCGGCTAGTAACATTTTTACCTTTTATATGTACACTATACTACATGTACACTACTGCTCATATCTATAGACGACGGTTACCACTTTCCATCAGGGGGGCCGTCAGCTTGTTTACCATTCAAAGTTGTATAAAAAAAATAAAATATGCTATCAATAATCTTCATTACAAACCTAATTTGTGTAAACGCAGATCGTGCACCGAGATCTGGCAGCTCGCAACGTTCTCGTCGACCACAACAAGCTGTGCAAGATCGCAGACTTCGGCATGTCGAGGTGCGCAGGCGCATCATCGAGGGCTGCCCGCTCAGCGCTGCCCGTGAGGTGGATGGCGCCGGAAGCGTTGCTGTACAACGTATACAGCCATCCAACTGATGTGTGGGCATTTGGGATACTACTGTGGGAGATTGTTACTTTAGGTTAGTATGTTTTCATTATTCGTATATATATTTTTTTATTGTCTAATAAAATCAAAAACTAATAATTTTGAAATGTCGAAATAAAAGCTGGACCATCAGTACCAATATATTACCGTTATGACAGCAATAGTGTGCTTGTATGTCCGCCATATGTAAGAAACTTTATTAAAAAAATTGGCAATGTGAGCTACATTCGAGTACACCAATGCCAACCACAGCCCCCTATGATAGCGGAATCAAAACCGAAAACAGTCAGGACTCATCGTTATCATTTTTAATTATGTAATCTCATTTTTATTACCTAATGTCTTACTTCATCTTCCACTGTTAGGTAATTACATCTGCCTGTAAGAGGTGGATTCTATCCCATTTTTGCCATATTGGGAGTTTCCTTATCCTGGACTGGTGAAATATTACCAATCACTTCTTGCATTATCCTGGTAATAAGAAGGAGCAGTGATACATTGTAACCTTACTTTATATATTCTTTATTGCATTAAAACATACAGTAACAACAATAAATTAATAACAATGTTAGCAAAGGCGAACTTATCTCTAAAAGAGATTTCTCCCAGTCAATCTAACATAGTGGTTAGCAAGCATAGCAAGTAGTTAGTGCTAAACAGAAGTTAAATATCTACATAAATTACAAATCAAATTTCAAAGATACAATATTAATACATATAAATATAAACATACATAAATAAGAATATATATATACATATATGTACATGTTAAATACCATTGAATATTTGATTAAGTTAATTAAATTAATAAAATTTGGGATTTTTCACCATTTCACCAGAGGGAGACCTTATAAAAAAGTCGATTGTTTGGGTACCTCTGTCCCATTCGTGCTTCAACCGTGAAGCAGCTGTGTTTACATGGCTGTGTTTCGGTTTGAAGGGTGGGATATGGCGTGAATTTACTAGGTACAGCGGAATAACACCTGAGTCCTCAGGAATGGCAACGCATGGGGGGTATCATGGGCGAAACAGTATACTCTGTTACGTCCATGGTACTGCTCATGTCTATAGGCGACGGTTACTACTTTCCATCAGGTGGGCCGTCAGCTTGTTTGCCATTCTATGTCGTATAAAAAAAATTATCTATCGAAGGGATCTAAAGAAGGGATCTATTAGTAGATCGACAACAACAGATGCGAATAAATTGTAGTACATCATGTATCATTATGGTGATGTACCATAATGATTACAAATTGCAATGACCTCCATATTCATCAGCTTTTATGTCATTTTCAGTATCATCACAGAAGAAATAATTAAAAATAGTATTAGTTTAACAATAAAAGTGATTAAAAAGTAATAAATCAATTATACCTTTACTTATTTTACCCTAAAAATATTTCTAAATATATATTTTAACTAATTTCAGGTTCAACGCCATACGCAGCCATGTCCGGTCGAGAAGTACTTGCCGCTGTGACTGAGGGGTACCGTTTGGAAAGGCCACCACATTGCAAGCCGCAGCTGTACCGTGCTATGCACTCCTGCTGGCACGCGGATCCCTCACAGAGACCTACCTTCGCAGACTTGAAAGCTCAATTAGCAGAGCTTCTTGACAACGAGCCATCGGAAGGCAATTATGTTGATTTAGACTCGTTTTATCAAGAATCCTCAGTGTATAGCGATCCGTCGGCGATTATAAATGATGACGAGGGGTTATCGGCGGAGTATGATAGGGAACGTCGTGTATTTAGAGAGTAAGTTGCTTCATCGCTTTTATAAATTTAATAGACATTTAAATCGTAATTAATAGAATCTTAATGAAATTTTGTCTAAAAATTGCGTCAAAATATGATAAATTTTTTTGATAATTCCATACAAACGTGACTTGTCCACTTGTCAAGAGCAAGAAAGAGAGGTACGAGAAGCTTTAAATTTTCAATCCTTTAAAATGCTACTGATTTCTATTTTGCCCTGTATATGTTAATATACAGGGAAAAATAGAAGTAAGTAGTGGACCAAAGCATTATGGGGGGTAGTGAGACTTATTGTCTAACAAAAGTACTAAAATTTATAGTTCTAGATCTTGTAGTTAATAAGTTATGCTTTATTTTAAAATGTGGTGAAAACATCATCCTACATGAAGCTAAATATTAAATTTTACAGTTGATGAATTTGGAAAATCATTGAGAATAAATTTTAATACACTTACACCCCTAGAACTTAAATTTAAATTAGATACTAGTGTAAGTTTAGATTTAGATCTTGCAGGGTCTTAAGGGATCGTATCAATAAATAATTCTGATTCCTTTTCAGGTTGAACAACAAGCCGCCAGTCAAATTTGACAACCGAGCATTTAGTTTGCGCGATGAAGAACTACGAAACAAATTTGGCATCGGAACCCCGCGAATGGGCGGATTCGGCATTCGAGATGTGCCCTTCAACGAGAGAAACTTCTCTGACGGCGAATTCAACGAGCGGGCATTCACCGACAAAAACTTTGCCGACAGGAACTTCAGCGACAAGAGCTTCGCCGACCGTAACTTTAGCGATAAAAACTTCGCCGAACGGAACTTCAGCGATAAGAATTTCACGGAGAGAAACTTCACTGACAAAAATTTCAACGACACGACATTCGCCGAACGGAAAGACGGGAAGCTCTCGACATCCAGTTTCCACAGAGAAAGGGAGAGAGAGAATCCTTTAGTCAGTAGGAATAGTTTCAACGGGTTCCCCAGGATAGGCACCAGGGACGGCCACTTTCAAATGACACCCGACGGTAGGAACAAGAGGGTATCAGAATTTGAATGTGACATTTAATTTATAAATTTATTTAGAATAGGCATCATTTTATTTATTCAATATTAGGGTTTATGAAGATTTTTGATCTTCGAATTTCACATCACGACAGTACAGTATGTAATTAATGTTAATTTATGAAAACTACTTATATATATATATATATATATATATATATATTTTATATACTCAAATATACAATGTTATTTATATATATATATAAGTACAGAACACGTAAATCTCAAAACAAATGGTCTTGATGATAGAATCGGAGAGCATGCATTTGTTTGTAACAAATACTTGCTCTCTGATCCTATCTATACAACAGTATCATATAATAATATATAACAATGCAACTCCATAGAAATTAGGTGCGTCTGATTTATGTAGGTGTGTACCTATGGATAACAGTCGTTTGTTAAGATTTGATCATGTAGTTTATAGATGGAACTACGTAAAATAAAAAAAATTGAAAGTATTCTTGGCAATGTCTTGTAGCTCAAAAATAGTAAGTAACTAAAATACGATTTGGCTTATAACGATGATGCCTAATTTATCTCAATATGATTCAGTGAAATTGACTGAACGTATTATAATGATTATTGTATTAGGTAATAAGTATTATTTTGCCGCCACGCACTGATGTATTTTGTTTGTTTTAAAGCACGTGTGGAACTAGTTTCGAAATAAGTTCTCATTTCAATACAAAAATATTAAAGTTTCAATATTCAGATAATGGATATTTTGGAACTTAATGGAATTTGGAATACATCCTTATAAGTGTAAACATTTGCACTATTACTTACAATGATTTTTCTGTATCAAAACATTAAAAAATTATATATGCTTTTGACAAAGCCCACAAAAGGACTTAGAAGCAAAACTTATGCATTACTTGCTCCATAAAAAGTCCTGTAGAATTAGTATAAGTGTTTTCACTTAAAACGATGTTCCAATATAATTGAAATTAGGAAACTTGAAACTGTATTACTGTATTAATATTGTAAATAATCGTTAATTTATAACAGTATTGTGTGTTATGTTGTGTATTATGTTTTGAATATCGATGTATTGTAAATATATTATGGTAGTTTGTAATTGTAAAGAACTGTTTTATTATAATGACTCGTTTACAGTTTTTATGAAGGAAGTCTATTTCTGGTTGGACCTTTAAACAAGATGATATGGAAATTCTTAGCATTTTTTTAGTAAAGTTTTCTACCAGTGAAATTAAATTGGTTTCACTCAAAGAAATACGTGTTGAAATATGAAAGTTCGAGCCTTCTGCACTAACTTGATATCTAGTGCACCATATTAGTTTAGGATGGTCGGAAATTTTAGTGGTTTTAAAAATTTTGGAATGACAAATATAATTTTACTGGTAGACAACTTTCTTAAAAAGATATCAACGATTTCCATTTCACTGTGTAAATTTTATTCTGGTATGTCACTTAACTAAAAATTATAAGTTTTGTCTTAGTTTATCCATATGTGTAGTCACTTATATACGTCTTTATATATGTTATAATATGTATAATTTAGATATTATAAATGATACGTATATAACCTAAATAAGGACATATGCAACAACTATATGTAAAAATTATTTACATTGACTTTATTTCAGTTTTGTGACGTAATAACAATCAGTACCTATATATTTATATCTATGTTTTGTTTATTTTAATTTTAATAATTTTATATGCATATATTCACCAAAAATATTGTTAAATCTGTACTTAATAATACGTTGTCCACGATGTTTTGTTCAAGTTAACAATTATATTAATTTGTTGGATCACAATGGTGCTAAACGGGAGTACTTCATGATAACTGTTGATGTAAATATAAAATTATAGATTTTTTTTACCCACGTTATACTTTCACATAATTTTCTTTCTTGGAATCTCAGTTCATTATTATTTTCTAGTCTTTAATAAATGTATGATATGGGATGTTATAAGATCTGATATATTGTATAAGTTTGAAAGATATATTTTATTACGAAATATTAAAAAATATAAAAAATACATTTGTCTATTATTGTATTCGTATTTGATCCCATGACTTATCATAACAGTACAGTATTCAGCTATTTACCCCTCACTTCGAACACGTGGATTTCAGGAGCATGAAAACCAATGAAACAAATCGCTACTAGATGGCGTATCGAACTAGGAAATACACCAATCTTTCAGTTACAATTTCAAGAGTATAACTGTAATATCGTATCCAACTTCGTGTGGTACTTTTTGCGTAATGCCGAAATAAATATATAAATAGAGGGAGACATTGCTTGCTTGGCTACCTTTGTACCATTCGAGTTTCAACTGAAGCAGTTGTGTTTGCACAACTGTTTTTCTGTTTGAAGGGTGGGATATGGCAGTGAATTTACAGGGTACAGAGGAATAACACCCGAGTCCTCAGGAATGGCAACGCATGGGGGGTATCATGGGCGAAACAGTATACTCTGTTATGTCTATGGTACTGCTCATGTCTATAGGCGACGGTTACCACTTTTCATCAGGTGTCACCTTGTTGAATAAAAAAATAAATAAAAAAACAGTCATAATTTCTGAAAATTATTATTATGGCTCATGATGTCTTATTATGATCCCTATTATTATTTTTTTATTATATTTTATTCATTATATATATTATATTGGTAGAAATATTATATTCCGTGCAATAGGGTAGAAAAATTCTTGAATGGCGACCCCGTAAGGGCAAACGCGGTATAGGACGACCTCTCACTAGATGAAATAACGGCCTCAAATATATTGTAGACAGTCAGTGGATGCAAGGTAGCTCGAGAATGTTCCTTATGCTGTCTGTGGAGGAAGCCTATGTCCAGCAGTGGACGAATAATGGCTGAAATTATGATGATACAGATGTTGTTCAGTAACAGTTTTATTGTATTAATAAGATTTTAGAATAAAATAAAAATTAATTTTTAAATAAAGAAAAGTCGTAGGTAATAGAGGGAAGTTAATTTTTATAATCAAGGCTTTTGTAGCTTTTAATAATAATATGTCAGAAGATTAAACAGTAATTAATGATTTTTTTTATATACAATTTATAATGGCAAACAAGCTGACGGCCCACCTGATGGAAAATGGTAACCGTCGCCTATAGACATGAGCAGTAGCATGGATATAACAGAGTATACTGTTTCTCTCATGATACCCGCCATGCGTTGCTATTCCTGAGGACTCAGGTGTTATTCCTTTATACCCTGTAAATTCACTGCCATTTCTATATCGTATGTACTGTATATTCATAAATTATATTTCAATATTTAATTATATTAAAAGATTAAATATATACTCATACCTTCTTTAAGAAACGAGCTATCAGATGCATAAAGACATTTGTCCAAGTCGATTGGTAGTTTCAGAGATAAATTAGCGCGTGTCATATAAGCAAACTCTTTGGTTTTATTATATTGAGTTAACATTTGGTTAATCATTATCTCCATTAACGTACTTTACTTACCTAACACAAAATAATAATATAGAAAAGAAGACCTACCCATAAATTGTACACTTACTGATTAAATCTCAAAATGGGTAGTTTAAACAGTCGTGGAATAACTGAACGTAAGAAGGAAAATGTTTAGATATTAGAGTCGTGCGGTTTTTCATTATAACTTCTCACTTTCCTTGTGATTGAAGTATTGTTTGTAACAATATAGAATGTTGAAATATTCACAGATACAGGCTGCTCCTGTATATTAGTAACGTAAAGGCAAGCAATACTTATTATATTATTATTATATATTCTTTATTACACTTGTAAATTACATTGTTAATGCATTTATAAATGTTGTGAGCAAGGGTGGACTTATCTCTGACAGAGATCTCTTCCAGTCCACCCAATGCAGTTAGAAAACATGTTGATAGCGGATAGCTTGAGACGAACTTTAAGTTTTTATCCTTATGTAATATTTATTTATTCATTAGTAAAAATATGTGTACATGGCGGCCTTAATGCTAAAAGCACTCTCTCCCAGTCAACCATAGGGAAGTGTCAGAGTACTTGAATGCGGTACTAGTAATTATTGATATACATACATATTATATTTACATATATAAACGAATAAATATATATCAATAACAAATATACTTACACATATATGACATATACTATATTATACATGAAACTGGGAATAATATAAAGTACTTATCCTTAAGAGATAAAATAATTTAACGTTACTTACAAATTTATGTTTATAATATTCGCCATTATAATTAGTCAGTACCAGAAATACATTTCTAAAAGTATGTATTCCATTATATTTGTGTATTGCATCAATGTATTCCATATATATATATATATATATATATATATATATATATATATATATATATATATATATATATATATATATATATATATATATATATATATATATATATATATATATATATATATACACACATTGTCAGTACGTTCATATTATAATAATAAACTATAGGTAACTAGAAAAGGCAGTCGGTAAAGTCAAAGAGAGATTTGACTTGGAGACAGAAAAATAAAACTAATTCAATATTATAAAATTAAAACATTTTTACATATTTAAATTATGTGAAACATTTTCTTAAAACTACCTATACTTATGAGTAGACGTGTTGGTGATTTGAATGGTTCCCACTATTGACAATGGCATATAGCACATATGGCAGTGAAATTATAGCATATGGAGGCATGCCCTCAGGAATGGCACCACATGACAAGTATCATGAGCGTTGGAGTGTATTTGGTGATATTCATGATAATATGACAAATATTTTCGATTCTATTCCATTCCATTCCGTTCAATTTCATTCCCTTCCCTTCCGTTCCATTCCGTTCCATCCGTTCCAATCCGTTCCGTTCCATTCCGTTGCATTCCGTTCCATTCCGTTCCATCCCGTTCCATTCCATTTTATTCCATTCCATTCTATTCTATTTATACATAGATATCAGTTACCACTTACTATCAGGTGAAATGTATCGATTCTGATAAAACTTCTATAAGTCTAATCTGTAAGTATATTTTTCTAGCTCAAAAAGAGAATTTTCCAAATCGGTTTCTAATTGGCAGAGTTATGAGTTAACAAACATACAAACCACAATCAAATTGAAAACCTGCTTCTTTTTGAAAGTGATATTATTTTTGGAAATTATTATAAATGCATTTGGCTTTACTATAATTTTCTTGATTTAATATACTAGATTTATAATATAGCAAATATACATCACAGCAATTATCAAAAGTTGTTCATAACAGGCGCTGAAAATGTGATGATTTTTAATGTCATCATTTCAGCCATTATTCATCCACTGCTGATCATAAGCCTCTCCATAGACTACCATAAAGAACGGTGTTTCTACCGTAAAGCAGTTATGTTTGCATGGCCGTGTTTCGGTTTGAAAAGTGGGATATGGCAGTGAATTTACAAGGTATAGAGGAATAACACCTGAGTCCTCAGGAATGGCAATACATAGGAGGCATCATAGGCGAAACAGTATACTCTGTTATGTCCATGGTACTGCTCATGTCTATAGGCGACGGTTACCACTTTCCGTCAGGTGAACCGTCAGCTTGTTCGCCATTGTAAGTTGCATAAAAAAAAAGAAATTCAAAATAATCACATCAAATGATTATTTTAAAACACCCTGTATGTGTATACGTGGATACCTATCGTACAAACAACCCCGCGATTGCTCAACGCTCCGGCGCAGCAGACGTTGCGGTTGTCAACGAAAGTATTGCGTACATTTTGTGTATGCATTTTACTGATGATATTTAGAAAATACTAGTTGTAATCCCAGTGGCCTATGTTTTAATTTGGCTGCCTAACTTTTACCATAAGAAGACTATTCAAAAGTCGTATACATGGGTAAAGGTAAAACTCTAGTTATAGATAGATAATTTATTTGCACTACTTGCTGCATTATATTGCACATCTTTCTACGCATGCAACCTGTGGGCTGTATATACTCAAAAATCCTACAGCGACCTCTGTATCCGATATAATAACGCGTTCAGGGTGTTGATGGGGCTGCCGCGATTCTGTAGCGCGTCAGGGATGTTCGCCGAGCATCGTGTAGATTGTTTTTATGCCACGATGCGAAAATGGTGCGCATCCCTGGTGCGCAGAGTACGTGCCAGCGCCAACAGCATCCTGAGTATGATGGCAAGCAGGCTGCACTGTGTGTACGTTAATCACTGCTGCGCAATTTCCAATGGAATTGTGCAGCGGTGATTATCTGTATATTATTTAATATATTATGTGTGTGTGTGTGTGTGTGTGTGTGTGTGTGTGTGTGTGTGTGTGTGTGTTGTGTGTATGTAAATTTACTAACATTAGTTTTAAGAATATTGTTACCAATAAATATTTAATGGACCAAAAAAGTCCGAAATAAAAATTATTATTATTATTATTATCGTCGTCAGCAAAAAATTAACATAAGTTACAAAAAAAAAACTGTTTTATATATTTTTTAAATGGATGATAATGGAATGGTAACCCCACCCGCGCTATCGGTATACACAGAAGTAGGTCAGTTAGCCCATCGTGACGAATTCAACAAGAACACGTTGTTCACGATGGTCTCCAGGGGGAACCACGTGGAGGTCTACCTAATAAGGTATATTGCTAGCAATGGGGCTGTCAAACTCAATTGCGAAGAATCCTTTTCCCCCCACTGTTTTATATTTGATCCGGATTAAATTTCTTTTGTAAGCAAAAATGATTTCTGTCAAATGAATTTTATTGCCAATAATATCATTTCTTAACATTAAAGCAACAACAGTGCTGGACGGTTCCCTGAGCTCTCATATTTTTTTATTTCATCAACATCCACGCTTATTATTTATTTATCCACGGCCTAAGTCTAGATTGGATCTAATTTCAGCAATAGTTAAAAAACGATAAGTGCTAAACAATATTTCTCCATTTCATCATCTTAATATTGTAACAAATAACATTGTACGGTTATTAATTTATAAGGAAATAAAAATAAAAGTCATTTAAATGGAGTTCCATTAAATCTTTGAGGAAAAAAAAAGAATTAAATAAGAAAGAATTTAACTTAAATTTAAGCATTTATGGAATTGTCATTTGTTTTCTTTATCGCTCATTCGGAACGCAATTTCAGCCAAAATGGTCGAGCAAGAAAATCAGTTGTTGCTTTTTTATTTAAAAAGTTTAATTTTATAAATAATAATAAGAATAAGGAACCACCAAACCGTGTTACAAACTAGTAATTGCGAAGAAAGATTTTCGGTTGGCGATCCCGGGGAGGGACACTAGTGATGCACGACTTTACTAATCTATTTATTCGACTGAATAAATCAACAAACAAACCTTTTTATATCAGGTGAGCCGTCAGCTTGTTTGCCATTCGAAGTTGTATAAAAAAAATGGACTAAATAATAGGATTTACTTTTTTTTTTAATCGTGTCATATTGTAATATTATTTTACAGATCACTGTGATGAATTGTGAATGAAATTAGCAATGCCATTTTTTTCTTTTTTTTTTCTATTTCAATTGTAACAATACGCCGACGGAGCCGAAACTAAATGGCCGAACATAAAAAAAAGAAAAAAATATACTTACGACTGAAGAGATAAATGGCATTTTTTTAAAGCGAAATTTTAGAACATTTAAAATTAACATGGGGAATAGCATTCCTTGTCTACCATTATCATGACAGCTGAGTTTCCCAAACAGTTGTGAAACAAGATTTTCTATAACTTCTTGGTAGAATCGAACTCACGACCCTTGAGGTGAAATCAGGGTGATAAGCCATTAGGCCACGGCAATCTCAGGTCAGTGACAATCAGGTAAGTAAAAAAAAGTTAACGATTATATATAATCTGCTCTCGGAAATAAGTCCTAAATATGTTTCTAGCGGACTATTTTACTTAAAGAAATTATCTTTTGTTTCTTTGAATAAAATAGTAGCTGTAGCTTCCAGAAATAAGCTATTAAATGCAATGAAACATAATTGGCATCTTGTAAACTTGACAAATGTAACATCTTATTAACAATGTTTCTAGCAATTCAATTTCATTTCAAATCCAATTGGTAGTTCAAGAGATTAGCACGTTCAAACAAACCGCTTTATATATTAGTGTTATCATTATATCATTCGTTACCTATCCACTACTGAACACAGGCTTCCCCTTGAGAGGTTTTGTCAATAGTTGCCACGCTTAGCAAGCGAATTGGTAACCGCAGTTAGACTTTGAATAATTTTTAAGAGGGACACTGCCACCCATCCCTCAACCATTAATTAAATAATATACATTATATATATATATATATATATATATATATATATATATATATATATATATATATATATATATATATATATATATATATATATATATATATATATATATATATATATATATATATATATATATAAAATTATGAAATATTGAGAGAAATATTGAGTTAATCTATACCAATATATATATATATATGTTACAGAGTACAGAGAAATAACATTAAATTCTCAGAAATAGCAACGCATGGGGGGTGTCATGGGTGAAACAGTATACTCTGTTATGTCCATGGTACTCCTCATGTCAGGCGATGGTTACCACTTTCCATCAGGTGTATATATATTTATATATGTTTTAAATAACTAAGTAGTTAGCAAATAATAGAATAGAATGCATAGAACGTATCTAATTATATATAATATATAAATTATGCTGTTATTACAAAACTATAATTATTATGGTTCAGGGAAATCTTGATCACGCTCTTATCACCATAATTAGAAAGTTTCCTGACCCTAGTGACCCATGCCACCGGGGTACTAACCAGTGAGATAGTTTACGTGGTGTCGAATATCAATATAAGGCAATCATTATGTTTGCACATTATTTTTAATCTTTGTATATAACAATTGTACTAAATGTTACAAAAAAATAAATAAATAAAGGATTACTATGATATCACTAGACCGATTGTTATAATCTTTTTTTTTAATGTATTTAATCTACTCCAATTTTAGAGTTTTTATTTCGAAACTGCCTGATTAAAACCTTGATCCGGTAGGTGGCGACAGGAGAGCAAAACAATAATGGATCAGCTACACTTGAAAAATAAATTTAAAACGTGACAGAATTAATATTAACTAGTTAACTCACTATTCTAGTGTTATAGCTATTATTATTATATTATTTGTTTATTTATTTAAACTTGAATGCACAATTATATAAGTAAGTGTATATATGACGGACTTAACACCAAATGGCGTTCTCTACCAGTCAACCATTAGACGAGTAGAAAATTAAGTAGGCGGTGCATTTACTACTAAAACGTTACTATCTGTTGTATTAGTCTTCTTTCTTTTATCCAGTTAATGACTGATTAAATAATAATATTACAATTTATTTGGAATAAATTTGTTCAGAAGGCGAAATTAATTCTGTTAGAGTTGTCTATCTTAGTAACATAATAAAAATGTAACGAAATGATTTGATAATAACTAAATGTGGGAGATATTTATAAAAACAAATACTATTAGTAATCTTAATAGGACTAATACATAGATGTTAAAACAATAATTTTTAGAAATTTTGTATATTTATCAATCTGTATGTATGTTCCGGAATTACACAAAAATTACTGCACCAAACTGGGTTCGACTTTCACAGTTACTTACCTGAAAGTTTAATCTAAAATCTCGTATATTCTATTTTAATGCCATTTCTAGAAATGGTTTAATTTATTGATTTTTTACCTCTGAAATCTACATGTACGAAGTAGTGAAAAAAGACTAGTTTGAAACAAAATTAAACTGAGAACTTTTCCTTTGTGAAGTAGTTTCTAAAAACTATGTAACAATCAAATATGATGCTGCGACAGACAGCCAGATATATGTATGTACAGATGGATAGATTTTACCAAATTATATAAGTTTCGATTCCAGTCAATTTCATCCACGTACAATATCTAAAAAGGACGCATATTTCATGTTCCGATCACAAAAAAAAAATGAAAATAAAAGAATTCAAAGTCATCTATGATGTAACAAACACGTTTGATTCGACAAAGTTGTTTTTGCTTATACTCAACTTATTCATATTAGGCCATTGAAAGGGAAAGCTGCGAGTAAACGAGTTTATTGAACAGCAACAATACCTTGCCGATTGCAATACTCATTCGAATACTATTCATAGATTTCGTAACAATTCGATAACACTATCTAACCGTGAAAGCATTTTCGCGTCGAAAAAATAATCAAGTATCATCCATGCAAATCGAGGCAAATTCGTATAATCCACTTTGAAATCTACTTTCGCCCTTATTATATTACTAGTAAGGTATACTTTTCAATAATTTCTTAAAATAAAAGAGGTAAACATAAGTTTGCCAATCGCTTTCTGTGTCCAAACAATAGAGTATGTAATCCTCCATGATGCCCCATTGTAGTGACATTGATAATTGGATGACTTATCATAATCCAAACAACGCTGACCCTAAGGTGGTGAAAGTTACCAGTTCCGGCATAATCTGACACCTGTAAATATGCGAGATGATATCTCTGTGTGTGTGAGACTGCGCATGCGTTCATTCTACGGTGAATCGAGGAAAGCGGCGCGCGCGCACCTCGCTCGATACTCTCGTATATAAATGCGATTTTCCATGTAATAATGTGAATATGATTAAGTGTGTTCCATACAATACGTAATATACAAATTATGACATTAAGTTCAATTTAACTAAAATGGCGTACAAAATAGTATTGACGGTTCTAGTTTTAACTGTAGTGGGAGCGGTGGAAGAATTTAAAGACTTTGAGTTCCAGAGTGATCCTGGTGAAATGATGATAGCCCAGGAGTCTAGGTATTACCAAACGATAGTCAAACCACCAGTGAAGATTGTGAAACCCATAGGAGTTACGAATTCCCATAGACCACAATATAACCTGGATTCCATAGAAGATGAACCGTTATTGGAAAACCCGGCGGTAACAACTAAAAGAACGGTAACTTACACACCGTCGTATAAATTAAGGTCTAAAGAAGGAATGATAAAAGAAGCGGTGTTGAAGGCTTTAGAAAGGAAAGACCATGTTGGCAAGTTCGCGCAGATCCTGCCCATCATCAGAGCGATGTCGGGTAACCAAAGGGTGGCTCTGGCTTCCTTAGTGGCCAGCCAAGTTACGACTCCTCCAGGAAGGGCGCCATTGAACTTGGTCCAGGTAAGAATTTTGGTTCTTTCGATTTTCTCAAGCACTTTTCTGTATCAAATGGGTAGGTAGAGATCAATATATATATATATATATATATATATATATATATATATATATATATGTATATATATATAAATTATTTATAACAAAAATAATTAAAATTACAAAGATATGAAATTATAGTTTCTTGCTTATTTTATTATATTACCAAATGAAGTTAAATGAGATAATTATGAATAAATTATGAATGTTTCAACCGTGAAGCAGTTGTATTTGCATGGCTGTGTTTCGGTTTGAAGGGTGGGATATGGCGTGAATTTACAAGGTACAGAGAAATAACACCTGAGTCGTCAGGGATGGCAACGCATGGGGGGTATCATGGGCGAAACAGTATTCTCTGTTATGTCCATGGTACTGCTCATGTCTATGGGCGACGGTTACCACTTTCCATCAGGGGGGCCGTCAGCTTGTTTGACATTCTAAGTTGTATATAAAAAAAATCTATATGCTTTTATACTGGATTTATGTAAAATAGTTAATTATTATATGTAACTGCATATTATAAAAAAAAAATAAAGAATAAAATACAATATTTTTCAATAATTCTGAAAAAGTTCAAAATAAATACGACTATTTTATTATATTGTATTGTGTACTAAATTGTATTTTACTAAAGGAATAAAAAAATTGTTTGTAATATAAAATATTCGATATGTTTATTCAAATACTAAGTTATCACTACAGTAATTTTCACCAGTTACTTCACTTATCACCATCAAAATCTTCATCATCTTCATCTGATACAGTATATTTTGTATAGCGTGCGCACAGATATGGTCTACTTACAGTTTCGTTACAGTACTTGTATATTTATAAACTAGCGGCCCGTCCCGGCGTCGCACGGGTGGACATTACATTTTAAAACTGGCCATTAAGGCTGCGCACGCGACGGTAGCTTAAAAATAGAGTAACTTCTCCCGTTTTCCCAACATTTCCCTTCACTGCTCTGTTCCTATTGATCGTAGCGTGAAAAGTATACTATAACCTGCCCAGAAGTATGAAGAATAATTATACCAAGTTTTGTTAAAGTCCGTCGAGTAGTTTTTGTTTCTATAACGAACATACAGACAGTCAGACAGACAAAAATTTTACTGATTGCATTTTTGGCATCAGTATCGATCACTAATCCACCCGCTGATAGTTATTTTGGAAATATATTTCATGTACAGAATTGACCTCTCTACAGATTTATTATAAGTATAGATTATAAATTTTGTAAATTATAATATAAATTATTTCATATAAAACTAAACTTACGACTGTATCCATCCTACGACTGTACGATGACCTATAATAACATTATATACAAGTCAATGAGATTGTTACGCTCTATTAATTCACCGCAGAAATCATTGTACTGTGAGTTGAAGATCAACCATGTATATCTATGGCTGAGAACAGAAATGGGGTTATTGAATCTAGCTAGGTAATCTGTTACTAATTTTAATAGTAAATAATCAATGACAGTTAATTAGAGATATAAGAAATGTTTATATATTTAACTAGCTATATCCCACGGCTTCACTCGCATGAAGACTCTGTACAAAAGTCGATTGCTTGGGTACCTCTGTCCCATTCGTGTTTCTACCGTGAAGCAGTTGTGTTTGCATGGCTGTGTTTCGGTTTGAAGGGTGGGATATGGCGTGAATTTATAGGGTACAGAGGAATAACACGTGAGTGCTCAGGAATGGCAACGCATGGAGGGTATCATTGGCGAAACAGTATAGTCTGTTATGTCCATGTTATGCTCATGTCTATAGGCGACGGTTACCGCTTTCCATCAGATGGGCCGTCAGCTTGTTTGCCATTCTAACTTGTATAAAAAAATGTATTATTTTTTAATGGAAATAACTATACTGTTTCCTCTTCTTATTGTACGCACACTGCCCGCTGGTAATTAATGCTCCTTTCCACTCAGGACTTGCTGGAAAAGAACTCTTACAGAGTTAAGCTCGCCTTTTATACATCTTTATTTAATACAAATTGTATGTTTTATTCTTTTTGTGTACAATAGAGTATAAATAAATAAAAAAAAAATGAATCAGTAAATATAATATACTATATTCCAAAGTTACATTCGAATCCGATCAGTAGTATTTGCGTGAAAGAGCAACAAACATGCAACCGTCCATACGTCGTTACAAATATTCGCATTTATTGCAAATACTAGCGGCTCGTCCCGACAAAGATGTTTAAAGTTAGAAATACAAACAAATATATAATGATAGAAAAATATATAATAAAATTGGAGCTTAATTATAAAGCTTGATTTATCTACCATCAAATCCTTCTTTTCCATATTTTTTCACAGATTTGCGACTAAAACACTGCATAGTATTTTTATACATTTTCTTATAGATTTTGACCTTCCAAAAACAGGAAAATGTTTCAAAACATTCTTTCACATAGGTTTTTATAGATATAATTATACATTTATAATTATATATATAATATATTATTTATAAAATTATAATTGTAGTTTTTGTCTAAAAAAGACACATCATTCTTATTTTTTATTTTTGAGTCAGTTGGTAGTTTTTTTCTCATCATTGAACTCTATCCTAAATCTTTCAACTTGTTGAATAATTTATCTTATCTTGAGGATTAAGCGATTGGTGTGTTTATGTTGCACTTATAAAAAATTATATACATATATACTTTATTGCATTCGTAAAAAAAGATACGGCGATTAGTTTAACAACTTGTTAGCAAGGGTGGGCTTATCTCTGTAATAGATCTGTAACAGTTCCAACTTATATTGGTTGTTGCAGTGAGAGGAAAAAATATTAGCGGCTAATCTAGTACAGGAAAGGTATAAAAAAAAAAAAGAATTATAATACAAAGTAAATGTAATACTAATAAAGTGAACAAAAAATAATTATGTATATATACAATTTTAAAATATCATACCGACCAAGTCGTAGCTTACAATAGACAATTAAATGAACGTGAAAATAAAAACAAGATTGAGGAAAAAAAAAATATAAGAATGTAAATACTGCAACCGGTTCATAAACTTATACGATGTTACGCAATACGTTTTATAATTATTGCATCTAATTAATGATGTAACAAACTTGTTGCACTCAGATGGGCTGGCCCAAAAACGACGGAAGCATACTGCATCCATAAATATTATTTTATCTGTCATTAGAATTATTCAACGATTTTTTTTTTTTATAGGCTAAGTACTAGAATGTTAAGTAGGCACGTCTAATAGAAAGTGGTATCATTTTTATGCAAAGTATATAGCTCGGACGATAATGAGTATCAGATGAAGAGTTTGTAGAAAGGTCGTCTGCTTGGGTACCTCTGTCGCATTGGTGTTTCTGCCGTCAAATAGTTGCTGTCAAGAGTGAGATGTGGTATGAAATTACAGGAGTAACCGTTGACTGTCCATCGTAGAACATAAGTTTTCCTCATGCCAGGAATTTTGTCATTAGTTGCCACACTTGGTAAGTGGGTTGAGAACCGCATTTAGGCTTTATTTTTTTTTGCGAGGGCAGCTATCCCTCTACTGTTAAGTTTAATTTAGTCGCATCTTACGACACCCATGGGAAAGAATGGAGTGGCTTATTCTATGCCGGGATCAAACGGCATAAAATGGGCTGCCAGTTACAGGATATGTAGACATAATACCTCATCTGTAGTACCATGTGCTTAATAATGTAGTCCAGAGGGAGGCTTTGTACAAAAGTCGTTTGTTTGAGTACCTCTGCCCCATTCGTATTTCTACCGTGAAGCAGCTGTGTTTACATGGCTGTGTTTCGGTTTGAAGGGTGTGTTTCGGTTCTTTTTAAAATTTCCCCTGTACAGATACTATTTAGTTGCAATTTTACTATTATATTAAGGTACAGGCCTATATGCCATATTTGGTGGGCATTCCAGGTTGTGGAAAAAAAAACAATTATGAATAAAATTGTGTTTTTTTTTTATTTCATTAAGAACTAATGTGGATGTAGATTTTTATCATTTACATTGCAATTATTGTTATTGGATAAAATTATTTAATCATTTTGCCGTCATTCATCTACAATACAACTCCTCTAAGACATAAATCGACAGAGACTTTTACGCTTGAAAGTGCTGATGTTAATTTGTTTGTCATCTAGTGACATACAAAACTTGTCTATGTCAACATTCGATGCCATATTGTGGACATAACTCACGTACCAACAGCAGTTATGAATGTTTTTTTTTTAATATTATTTGGAAAAAGTGTTTACAAGTAGTAATTGTTCGTGTTTAACACGAAGAAAGTGATTATAAACAATTTTTGTGTTACTAAATAAATATTTAGTAAAAAATATTATATCACGTCATTGTCCCAGTGAACTTCATTTTTTAACTGGTTTCAAACAGAAGTTGGACGTCAATTCGGTTGTATTTTGTTTGTTACCATACAACTCCGTCAGTTATAAACCATTTTGGAAAATTATTTTTTTGTCTGGAAGGATATACTTATTAATTTGTTCCGTAGTTTTATCAAAATCGGTTCAGTAATTTGGATTTTTAAATAAAAATAACTGGGTTTGTCACAATTGAAGTAGTTTTTTTCGGTGGGACACAATCATTAATTACATAACCCATCAAAAACCTTTCTTCTTCATTGGTTTTTTTTAATGGATGATAATGGAATGATAACCCCACCAGCGCTATCGGTATACACCGGCAGGGCACCAGTGAAGGATGATAGGTGAGGATGAAGCAGGTCAGTTAGCCCACCGTCACGAATTCGACAAGAATTGTTCACGATGGTTTCCAGGGGGAACCACGTGGAGGTCGACCTAATATAGTGTGGATATAGCTAGCAATGGGGCTGTCAAACTCCATTACTAACAATCCCTTTCCCCCCGCTTCATCAGTTTTTGGTTCTATAAACTGTATGATCAGCCCATTGTCACTTCAGCTTGCATATCCTATAGACTATGTTGGTGACTTTGCTTCTT